CTGGCTCCTCCAACCCCAGAGCCCCCAATCCTGGCTCCTCCAACCCCAGAGCCCCCAATCCTGGCTCCTCCAACCCCAGAGCCCCCAATCCTGCCCCCCCCAACCCCAGAGCCCCCAATCCTGGCTCCTCCAACCCCAGAGCCCCCAATCCTGCCCCCCCCCCAACCCCAGAGCCCCCAATCCTGGCTCCTCCAACCCCAGAGACCCCAATCCTGGCTCCTCCAACCCCAGAGCCCCCAATCCTGGCTCCTGCTCACACAGCTCCAGCCCACTCTGCCCTCCCTCTGCCAGAGCCAGTGTGAGTGGTTGCACACAAAATTTTGTGCATTGGCCCTTTAAGGGGGTGCCTGCATTTTCAGCTGTCTAGCTGGCAGACAGCACAGCGGCCGTTTTTCAGAGCCAGATGTGATGTGGGCACCTTTCTCAGTTCTGATGTTCTGGGCTGGGGAGCCCAGCTTGGGGTTTAAACCCCAGAGTTCTCAGTGGGGATCCCCACACCCCAGCTGAAATATCCTTCCGGAACTTCCGCTGCTGTCTGTGGGAGGCCAGCCGGCCCTTTAGCGCCTCCCCACTTCCTACCAGCCTCTATGCGGTCCCCACTTTTCATCCTTGGTTATCAGGGGTCTCTCCAGCTAGTCTTTAGTTGATTTTTAAGGGTGGGTTTTCAGTATTTTAGTTGCATTTCCAGTTTGGTCCTGGGAGAGTGTCAGTGTAGCTTCCACTTATTCTGCTGGCATTTTGGAATCTCTCTCTTGTCTTTTTGATGACAGCCATTCTAACACGCGTGAAGCCTCATGTTACTGTGGTTTTGAGCACCTTTTCATGTACCTGTTGGCCATTTGTATATCTTTTTGGGAAAAATGTCTAATCAGTTCTTCTGCTCATTTTTAATTAGATTTTTATTTTTTGCTATTGAGCTTTATAAGTTCTTTACATATTTTGGATATTAACCCTTATCAGATACATGATTTGCAAATATTTTCTTCCATTCTGTAGAATGCCTTTTTGGTGTGTGTGTGTGTGTGTGTGTGTGTGTGTGTGTGTGTGTGTATGTGTGTGTTTATGGTTTCTTTTGCTGTTCTCTTTTTTTAAAAAGCTTCTCAAGATTTCAAGGCATAAATCTGGCAAAGCCCTAAGGCAGGTGTCATAGGAACCCAGCCAATGTATTTTTCTAATCTACTTCTCCATCCTTCTTTGGGATTGCTGCCACATCAGTGTCCTTGCACTGGCCTCCTGCACATGGATCTGACTCACAGTGGAGCTACCACCAGATTGTCAACAAAGCCCTCGAACTGAGTCACATCCAGGCCAGTGCTGTGCAAAGGCGCCATTTCCCCACTTCAGTGACAACCCTTGAAATCGTCAGACTTTTAAATCTTTACTTAGTCCCCCCATTCATATAATGACTCAAGACAAAACAAAACAAAGCAGCAACCAAAACCACATCCACCAGGACAAAAACAAACAAACAAACAAACAAACAAACAAAAAAACCATCCGCCCTCATGCAGCCACCACCACCTCTCTCTCTCCCCACTGCAAAAGCCACCAATGCGCTCTGTGCCTTTCTAACCCATCCACCGCACAGCAGCTGAGTGCTTTTGGGGGGGGAAAAAAAAGAAGAAGAAATATTTCAAAACTTGAGACAAGAGGATAACATAATAAAAGACCTATGTGCCCACTTTATCAAATATTTAGCTTTATCAATTTTAAACATTTTGTGGAGTTATTTCCCATCCTTGTTTTTATACGTTTTCTACAAATTTATCTGTAGTAACCATAACCATAAACAATCTATGGAATTGTTTTTCATATTTTGAAACTTTAAAAAAAAAAATGGCATCAGATAGCTTGCATCCTTGGGCAACTTTCTTGATTTAGATGCTGTGGCTTTAGAGGCATCACTTTGATATATGCGGCTCCTGTTCATTTACACCAACGGTTGCACTGCCTTCTGACACAGGAATGCATCACGAGCCATCCTTCCTCCTGTGATCCCGGGCTTTCATTATTACAAGCAGTGCTGGGTGAGCATTTCTGTTTATAGTCTCCTTAGGCACCAGCATAACAATGCCCCTAAGGAATTTGCCTGCGAGTAGAATTGCTGGGTGTAAGGATAGGCCCCAAAGCTCTGCTAGTGCTCTTAAAGTGATTATATCACTTTACACGCCTGAAAGGGTGAACATGTGCTAACATTGAATGCTGGATGTCTGATAATGCCTTCATATGTATTTTGTGTGCAACTTCCTTTGGACAGCAAGCAGCTTTTCAGATTGGCTTCCTGGCCGTTTGGTCATCCACTCTTGTAAAATGCCTGTTGGCAACATTTGCCATTTTTTTTTTTTTTTAATTGTGCCTTTCTAAAACAATGATTTGTAGGACTTTTTAATAGGTCCCAGATGCTAACTCATGGCTGGTTATTTGCATTGCAGACAATTTCTTCAATCTGTGTCTTGCCTTTAACCATGTTCAAGGTATCTATTGTTGTACGAAAGTTCTAAATTTTAATGAGGTCAAGTTTATTAATGCTTTTCTGTAAGTGGAAGCTTTTGTGCCTCATTTAAGAACTCCTTTCCCTCCCAACTCTAAACTACAAAGATACTCTATTATGTTTTCTTCTCGGTATTGTGAAGTTTTGCTTTTCATATTTGTCTTTCATCCACAGAGACTTACTGTGGTATCTATAAAGATGGATTATGCCATAAAGATAAGAATTTGTTCCAGCATCATTTATTAAGTAGTTCTGCTTTCCCCCATTAATGTAATGCAACCTCTCTCTTATTCCAAATTTCCAAATACAAGTGGGTTTATTTTTTGGACTATAGCCTATTAATTCATGGGGCTACTTTTCTGTCTTTGTGCAAATACCACACAGTCTTAGCATAACTTTACAATAAATCTTCATATCTAGTATGGAAAGTCCCCTCTCACTCTTGTTATGCCTCTTCACCACTCTCTTAGCTCTTTTTTTTCTTCAACATTAATATTAGAATAAGCTTATCAAGTACCACAAAAAATTTTATAGCAATTTTCACTTGTATTATATTAGATTTATAGATTACATTTTAGAAGAGCTGATACCATTATGATAGTATCTTCCAACCCATGAATATTAGCCATGAGCGTTTTAAGGTCTCCATTTATTCAGATTATTTTTATGTCCTTCAATAATACTTGGTGATTTTTCTCCATAAAGGTCTTGCATATCTTTTGTAAGATTTATTCCAGTATGTGCTGTGCCAGCACAGCCAAGGGTGACCCTGAGTGGGGGTGGTAAAAGGCTTAGAAAAGACAAGAGAATGAAAGCTGGGTCTCAGTGGGACGCTGCTTCCTCATGGAGAGATAGCGACAGTGCACACAAGCCGTGTCTTTATTTATAGCAGATGCCACGAGGCAAAGTAAGGGCATAACCAAAATGTTTACAACATTCTCTCAGGTTTCAATCCTACTCAACTACTTGCATCTGAACTCTATCAAGCCCACATCACTTAGACACGTGGGGCCATGTATTGGGACCATAGGTTCAAGCCCACAGCCATAGCTGTTAGCTATAATTATGCTGGGAGGGCCCGGCCCTCCAAGCTGGGACTTGCACAATCCAAGGCTTGAACCTGTCCAAACACTTAGCTGCTCCCCACACCAACTTATTTCAGGGAAAGAAAACAAGATGGCCGCATCGGCAAACATCTAAACTGCTGCCTCAAACAACAATATCAAAACTACAACTAAAAGACAAAACGGACACCATCCAGAACCACAGAAAAGCTGGCTGAGTGGAAATTCTACAACTAGAAGGAAAGAGAAAAGCACATTGAGACTCAGAGGAGCTGCAAAAGGCTGAGGTACGGAGACGCACATGCAGAAAGGACAAGTGGCTGACTACATGGGCAGCTGAGGGCGCAACTGGCTTTCTAAAGCGGGAGGGAGATGGAAGCTCCCAACTGTGCTGAACTTCAGTCCCGGGCGAGACGCTGGGAAATGAGACTCATTGAGGGGAGGGGGGGGGGGTCTGGACTGTCAGAAAAAGAGAAAGCACACTGAGACTAGGGAGCTGCAGAAGGTAGAGATCCAGAGGTACGCACACGCAGAGAGGATTGACTGCTGAGTGCACGGGCGGCTGAGTGCACAGCTGGCTTTCTAAAGTGGGAGGGAGATGGAAGATCTCCCGACTATGTTGAACTCCAGATCCAGGAGAGTTTCTGGAAAACCAGACTCACTTGGGAAGAAACTGGACTATCTGGCAGCGGGCGAAACTTGAGGGTGGCTTTCTCTCAAAGGTGCTTGCAGTGATTACTGAGGAACACTGAGACCCAGAGCCCTCATAGGGCAGGGATGACAGGAAGCCAAGGCTGTCTGTTCCGCCCTGAGATTCCGCCCCGAGACTCCGCTCCATCCAAGCTGAGCACAGAGGCTTGTACAAGTCTTCTCCCATAAGGGTGTCCCAGCTCAGAAATTCTCCCAGCATAGACACCACTGATCCTCACAGCCAATTGACCTGGAGGTCGATTCCTTCCAGTGATACCAACAACAATCAAGGCTTAACTACAACAAGGCTGTGCATACAATCCACAAAAGGGTGCACCAAAAGGGTCCACCTCAGGTAACTGGGGGAGGCTGAACCACTGGGCCATATAGGACACCTAGCACACAAAGCTACTCTATAAACTCAGGGAAGCAGTGAAAATGCAGAGACAAAGAAACAGATCAGAAATGAAAGAAATGGAGGAAAGCAAATGACTGCATATAGAGTTCAAAATCACAGTTATAAGGTTTTTCAAGAATTTCCTAGAATAGGCCGATAAATTTAGTGAGACTCTCAAGGATATGAAAAAGGACCAACTAGAAATTAAACATGCACTGACTGAAATAAAAAATATATATATATTATACAGAGACCTAACTTCAGACTAGAGTACCTCAAGAACCAAGTCAAAGATTTGAAATACAAAGAAGCAAAAATCACTTAACTAGAAAAGCTAAAAGAAAAAAGAATAGCAGTGTGTGTGAGGACTCAGTGCTGGAGCCGTGGATGGTTTGTGCAGCCCGTTAGTGCTCCTGCCGAGACTCACGCCGCCATCATGTCCTGCTACCTGCGTCCCCCCAACACGTCTCTGTTCGTGAGGAATGTGGCCGACGACACCCGGTCTGAAGATTTACGACGAGAGTTTGGTCGTTATGGTCCTATAGTTGATGTGTATGTTCCGCTTGATTTCTACACTCGCCGTCCACGAGGATTTGCTTATGTCCAAATTGAAGATGTTCGTGATGCTGAAGATGCTTTACATAATTTGGACCGAAAATGGATTTGTGGTCACCAAATTAAAATACAGTTTGCACAGGGAGATCGGAAGACTCCAAATCAGATGAAAGCCAAGGAAGGGAGGAATGTGTACAGTTCTTCACGTTACGATGATTATGACAGATACAGGCGTTCTAGAAGCCGAAGTTATAAAAGAAGGAGATCAAGAAGTCGGTCCTTTGATTACAACTATAGAAGATCCTATAGTCCTAGAAACAGTAGACCGACCGGAAGACCACGGCGTAGCAGAAGCCATTCCGACAATGATAGACCAAACTGCAGCTGGAATACCCAGTACAGTTCTGCTTACTACACTTCAAGAAAGATCTGAGAAAAGCGGAAAAAGAACCAAAGAAGGGCAGTTCAAGCGACCAAAGGGTGGGTGGAAGGTGCTGCAGTATGAATACTGTGTGAATATTTTGACTCTGGTCTGAAAAAATAAAAGAATGTTATTGAAACTACATGGAATAATTGAAGTCCCTTCAAGTTTGGAAGTAAGCATTTTAGGACAAATAAAAGGAAATTCAACTTTGTACTTGTGGAAACTAATTCCTAAATCTGAGTAGGTTTATATTTGATTCATGGATAACAGGTCCATAATAAATTACTGGAAACTAGGATGTCTCAATATCACGGTAGACAGCCATAAATCTCCTACAGTGCTGCTTTTGGTCTGTCTGAAACAATTGGGTGAGAAAAGGCATGGTCCAATTTAAACTTTTTCTTGGTTCTCTCTTAAAGTCAGATTCATTTTTGCTATTGGCAAATATTGCCTTTGTTCCAGTGCTAGTGTTTTACTGTTTAATGGTTTGCTTTGTTGGCATCTGAGTTTATTTACCTGTATGCCATGTGCAGTCTACATCTTCCTTAAACACTATTCCCAGGTAAATTCTAATTATAATACTTGACATCCAGTTAAGAGGTTCTACATCTCACCTCTTTCTTAGCATATTCACAAACATTTACTGAGCCCTTTACTATAAGCAACAATTGTACTGGATAATTGGGAGGAAAAATAGATTTAAAATTCACTTATTCAATAAATGTCTGAGCACAATCTAGTGAATGACATTACAGAATGGCCTCATTGTTTTGAGGTGTATTGTTTGACAATATTTTACACCATATCTTAATGTAATTATAAAACCCAGTATACTATCAAAGATAAGTAATTTTGTGGTTACCTGACATTAAAAAGTATCTGGTATTTCTGTTTGCATCCCATTAATACAAATAATGAAAAAATGATGTTTTGATCTGTAATAAACTGATTTATTGTGCAGTGACTGTAATATATACTAGAATTATATTGTTTACTGCCTCCTCAAACACACATTAGGAGATAATCCCCCCCCCAAAAAAGTATTTCATTTTGCATTAGATATACAGGACACTGGGTGCTATAATTAGATTATTTTGAGGCAGAAAGAGAGCTGTTATTCCAACTGACTTAGTATGTTCTGTAACTGATAAAATGTTCACCAAGTTATACTTTTTAGTGATTGACATGTACATTTTGTAGGGAACATGTTCTGTGTATAGTGAATAAATAACTTTTATAGTATCACACAAAAAAAAAGAATAAAAAATTTTGAATATAGTGTAAGGAGCCTCTGGGACAACTTCAAGCATACCAACATCAGAATTATGGGGGTGCCAGAAGAAGAGAGAGAGCAAGATACTGAAAACCTATTTGAAGAAATAATGACTGAAAACTCCCCCCACCTGGTGAAAGAAATAGACTTATAAGTCCAGGAAGTGCACAGAACCCCAAACAAAAGGAATCCAAAGAGGACCACACCAAGACACATCATAATTAAAATGCCAAGAGCAAAGACAAAGAGAGAATATTAAGAGCAGCAAGAGATAAACAGTTAATTACCTACAAGGGAGCACCTTTAGGTAATTAACTGGTTTTTTTTTTGTTTTTGTTTTTGTTTTTTTTTTCTGCTGATTTCTCAGTAGAAACTATCTATACAGGCCAGACAGGAGTGGCAAAAAATATTCAAAGTGATGAATGGCAAGAACCTACAACCAAGATTACTCTACCCAGCAAAGCTATCGTTTAGGATTCAAAGTCAGATAAAGAACCTCACAGATAAGCAAAAGCTGAAGGAGTTCATCACCACCAAATCAGTATTATATGAAATGCTGAAAGATATTCTTTAATAAGAGAAGAAGAAGAAAAAGGTAAAGGTAAAAAAAGGTAAAGATAAAAATACATATCTATCAACAAGTGAATTAAAAATCTGAGGAACAGAACAAACTGGTGAATATAATAGAATCAGGGGCATAGAAAGGGAGTGGACTGACAATTCTTGGGGGGAAAGGTGTGTGGGGAGTGCAGGAAGAGACTGGACTAAAATCGTACACCTATGGATGAGGACAGTGCAGGGGAGGTAAGGCAGAGGGTGGAGTGGGAACTGGGTGGAGGGGAGCTATGGGGGGAGGAAAAGAGGAACAATTGTAATAATCTGAACAATAAAGATTTATTAAATTAAAAAATATTTATTGCAATTGTGAATGACATTTTTATATTATATTTTCTAATTGATTATTATTTGTGCATGAAAATAATGTTTTTTAAAAATATATTTTATTGATTTTCCACAGAGAGGAGGGGAGAGAGATAGAGAGCTAGAAACATCGATGAGAGAGAAACATCGACCAGCTGCCTCCTGCACAACTCCTACTGGAGATGTGCCCATAACCAATGTACATTCCCTTGACCGGAATCGAACCTGGGACCCCTCAGTCCACAGACCCATGCTCTATCTACTGAGCCAAACCAGTTTCGGCAGTATGGTTGTTGTTTTTTGTTGTTGTTGTTGTTTTTTTTGTTTTGTTTTTTTTGTTTTTTTTATGTTGGCCTCTTTCAACAATTTTGCTGAGTTTTCTTATTATTAGTTCTATTTGTTTTTCTGGATATTTTCCTGGTAAAGAATTCTTGGCACCACCACTTCTGGGAGTAGCAGCCTAGATGCTATGACAAGTCTTGTTCCCAGAGTCATGTCTCTCCTGCTCAAAACATGGCTCTTGGTACACAGCTGAGATTGCAAGAAGTAAATGAAATCTCCCCGGGACCCAGTGAGCTGGAACCAAAGTGTGACGTTACAAGCACACAGGAAAGACGGGATTGCCCTGAGTGCATATGTCCGTGAATACAGGTGCAGCACGAGGAACGCTGTCAGACCTTTTGGCTAGTAGCATGGAGGAGCTAAACACCAAACCCCTCAGTAGGCTGGGACCCTGAAAGATGGCTAAAGTGGCCCCAGCCCCAGGTTGACATGTACCTTGGCATCCAAAAAAGCAAATGCAAATCTTCTCTGGAGAAAATTATCTTCATTTAAGGCCCAAAGGTAATATCTATTGATGTGAACCCACAATAATAATAATTTAAAAATCTCCAAAGGAACAGAAAACAAACTCCCATGAGTAAGATTCAGAAGGAGCTACCAGCAACAGAGTTAGAACCATAATATGTTAGATATTGGGATTATTAGATAGAGAATATAAAGTAACTATGTTGGGAGTGAGAGATTGAACTACAAATGTGGGCTAGCAATGACAGCAATGACTATCAAAACTGATAAACATGTAGTATTTATAGATATGAAAAATATAATTTAAAAACAAAAAAGTCGGGTTTGATGTGAATAGCAGATTAGACCCAATTGAAGACTTTGGTGAAGAGAGAATTAGTGAACTGAAATATAAATATGAAGCTATTACTGATTAGAACACTAAAATCATGAAAAAGGTTAAAGGATATGAAATAATCTGGCATATGTCTAATAAGAGTCCAAGAGGAGAAAATAGAATAGAGGAGAATTAAAGAGATAATGGCTGAGAATTTTCTAAAATTTGTGAAATATATCAACCGTCATTTATGCCAAGCAGGATATACTAAAAAGAAAAATCCAACCTAATGTGGTAGGTAGAATATCCACAAATTCTTTGATATTTCTCCCTTCAGTATATAGAGCAACCCCCCTCCCACTACATGTGGGTTTGACTTAATGATTTCCCCATCTCTTTGTTTTCATCCTATTTTTTGCCCTCCGCTTCCTCCCTCTTGAGGATTTTCAATCTGAACTCCCAATTCACTCCTCAGCGTATAATAATCCTATCTACTAGTAGTCTGTTGTTCATTTAATTATTATATTTCCCATATCTAACATTATGTTTCAACCATTACATTTTTTCATACCCAATGCTGTGTTTCTGCTTGGTTCCACTTAATGTTTTCTTATTTTGTTTCATGTTTTTAATATCTTTTATCTTTCTATGTTTATGAGGCTAATTAGAACATTCTGGCCCATCTGTTCTAATATTTATGCCTCTGATGGAATCTGAAAGCTGATATGTTGTTTTTCTTTTGAAATATTTGTGCTCGTTTTCCCTGGGCACTGGATACTCTGTCAGGCAGTGTGGAGGGCCAGACCTTTGTGCTTGTCAGTCCCAATTAGCTTTGCAGGCGAGGGGGTGGGGCCAATGAGACTTAGGGTGGAGAGCCCGAGATATCAGAAAACATTGGTTCTCACCCCAAGGACACGCAGACACACACTCATCCCTCTCCCCAAGGGAAGCCAGCATTAGGAGGTGATACTTCTTAGATCATAATTCACCAGCCCTGGGGGCTTATCAAGTTAGTGGTTGGGAATAGACTAATTATACAAATAATTTTCTCAGCTCAACACAAATATAGAGCTTCTGATTTTATTCCCACTGACCCCTGGTTAAGAGGTTGAGTCCCAGCAGCTGTTCCTCAAACAGGTACTATTTATCCCAAAGCGATGGCAGGGAGAAGCAAAACTCCTATAGCAAGCATGTCAAACTCACGGCCCACAGGCCGCATTCGGCCCACGGCGAATATTTCTGCGGCCCAGCCAGTGTAACGGTGTGAGCAGTTATTTACAATTATGAAAGGAAGGAAGTCTCCTGTCAGATCCAGAATCACTGACATTCACCTTGGGTCACTTTTGAAAGTAATCACTGCAAACAAGATTTCCCCTGAAATAGGAAAGATAGTAGCCAGAGAAGAGACGCCAAGTGTCAGGAAGAAAATATTAATTTTATCATTGCTCTTATTGCTCAAAAAATTATACTATACTTTTTGAAATAAACCTATGTTTCTATGAGAATGGAAGCTTTTGTGTTTTTTGTTTGTTTTTTTGCGGCCTACATAAACTTAAACCTTGTTTACTTGGCCTGTGTTAGCCTTTGAGTTTGACATGCTTGTCCTATAGTTTCTCGTGGAGTTCCTTTGGCGTTGACCTCTAGAGACGGGGTTAGAAGATGTTGTCGCTCAGCATCTTGGTAAGAAATGGAATTGCTTCCTGTTCTCATTTCATGGATACAAAACTTCTTTCTTTCCTTCAAGGATATTTATGGCAGCTCTGTTTTTTTGTTGTTGTTGTTTTTGTTTTTGGCTTTTATAGTCTGCTTCTGCTGGCTGGCTTTTCTTGGTAGAGGTTTTCTTCAGGCGTTGATGACTCTTGCCTGTCTATTTATGACCATGTTTATGACCAAGTGCAAGAAGCCACAAAGCTGTTTGGAAGCTCTGGTCCCACTGGAGTGTGGAAAGTGGTGGAGTCAACTCTGAGTGTCTTTGTGGAATCCTCTGGAGGACGGACTGTTTGGTCTAGTCCATGGTCAATTACCTTTAGGTCCTTCTTCTTGGGAATGTAGTAGGAAAAGCTAGGCAGTTTCAGCTTTCGTGAAGCATGTATTAACTTAATGTACTCTTCTTGGGGGTAGCCTCATGCCTTTACAACTGGTTTCCTCAGTCCAGAAGATAATCCCCCAGGAGCGGGCACTGCTCAGTGTGGAGCAAGGCGAAGGCCCAACAGCTCCCTTTACAACTTTCAACCAAACATTTCTTCTTATCCTTACACGTCACATCAGTATCAGCAGAAACAGGACTGCCAGTCCCTGAGTCCCGGGAATATGGTGGGGAGTGGGGCAGATGAGGGGGCACCCCGCCTAACCACTGACAGGTTAGGGTAAGGCTTTCTTGGCCTTGCTAACTCAGCACTTTCTTTCCATCAGCTCCCTGGTTTCTGAAGTGTTATTGCTGCTAACTTCTCTTTTTCTTGTGGATTTATGTCTACTTTTAAAAAATGCTTTTACCACAGTTTTAGTGGCATATCAGGAAGGAGAAAAATTATACTCATGTGCTCAATCCATCATCTTTACTGAAAACCTAAATTTTTTAATGTAAAAAATCATTACATCTTTCAATTCTTACACCTCTCATCCTTTTCCTGTCATTTCACATAGGCCCTCAGGTGCAATGTTGAATTCAGATGCAGTCGTAGTAATCTTTCTCTTAGTTCTGGTTTTTGTAGGAATGATTCTGAAATGCCTCCCCTGCTGTATCTGACATAAGTTAAAGCGATTTTTTTAAGTGAATTTATTGGGATGACATTGGTTAATAAAACCATGCAGGTTTCAAGTGTACAACTCAATAAGCGGTCATCCTGCATCATGCACTTATTACCCAAAGTAAAGTCTCTTTCTGCTCTCATTTGTGCCCTTCTGCCCTTCCCCCTTTCCCCCCCAGCTAT